GTGTCTTAGTTCAACTGGGAGGAAATCAGAAGGTAATGGAGCAGACCAGGGCTTCAAATTTTTGGGAAGAGGCTGGACGCACGCAAGTAGGCTCTGCCTCCTGCTGGGAACTTGCAGCGGCCCCAGACCATGTAAATGCCTCAGATTGCAGGGATAATGAAACCTCTCAGCACCCGGACGCGTCCTCGGTGGACATGGCACGCCCCTCATTTAAAGTGTGCACGGTGTGTGTGGGAGGTCAGAATGAGCCGCTGTCACCCCGTCCCACCCCGTGCCCATTGCCCATGGGTTCCCCGCCATCCACATGCTCACTGCTGTTCACGAGGTTTGCATCTCGTGGTCCCATTAGCCCCTAACTTCCTAAGCAGATTATTATTTAGTTTCACCGTGTGCTGGCTTTTAAGCGAAGACAGCAAAAGCAAACAGAGTCCTCCTTACATTTTAATGAAACAGATGAAGCCAGCTATGTGCTAGTCACCTTTCAACATAAGCTCTCGGTCCCCAAGGCAGTAAGTGAGCCTGGCGGCTGTCCTGTACCCCCGCGGATGGTCTCACGTGGGGCGGACAGGAACGTATGGACGGGACAGTACTTCGTGGAGTTAACTAAAGAAGTACTTAACAAAATTGACAACACAAGAAAGCATACTGCCGCCGGTGAAAGGATTATTAGACCTAGGTGAAGATTTTTTTCTAATCCTCACCTGAGGATATATTTTCTATTTATCTTCAGATAGAGTGGGAGGGAAAGAGGGAGAGAAAAGGAGAGAGAGAGAAAAGTCGACATGAGAGAGACACATTGACTGGTTGCCTCCCACACGATGCCCACCAGGGCCGGGGACGAACCCCAACCGAGGTACATGCCCTTGGTCAGAATCGAACCCACGACTCATTGGTCCGAGGGCCGACACTCCACCACTGAGCCAAACCAGCCAGGGTGACCTAGGCAAAGTTTTAATTTGATATAGTTGCAACGTGGCAGAACCCTTTTCATCTAAAAGCAGTAGAGAACGCCACGGCCAGCCTTGTTTCTGTTTCCTCCCTGAACCTTAGCCCCGGGGCCTGAGCGTTAGCTGTTGCTGGGACTGTGTGCGGGTGAATGCACAGCCGGCCTGAGTCCCAAACAAGCATCGGTTCGGTGCCACAAATCAGCTAAACTTTTGCTGGGTGTGTTGATACCAAAAGCTAATGTTCTCAGGGGAGCCTCTGTCTTCGCGCCAACGTTCATTTGTTGGCCCGGGAATAGACATGTGGGCTGAGTGTGCCGGTGCTCGGCAGAGCACTGGCATGAGTGTGTGGAAAACATCAGTGCACCAACACCACCAATAGCAGTGTGGGGGCAAAAGTACCCTTCTCCACCTCCTGAGTTCTTCTGGTCGGGCCAGTGATCCATTCACGCGAGACAGATCAACAGGCAGAAAAGGCAGCTTATGCTACAGATGTGCCCGTTCTGGGAGCTGTAAGAGAGACCCGAGGAGGCACTGGGCAGTGGAGGCTCATGGTTATCTTGAGCTGAGAAGAAAGGGGAGGTTGGGACTTCAAAGGGCAGGAAGGCAACTCAGGGAGCTGGAAAGCAAATGTTTTGTAAACAAATGTTTACTGAGCCAACTTTAACAGTGGGGCACAGGGAGGACCTGCATCAAAGGGGCCTTGGAGGTCCCTCCCTGGCTCTCACACCCGGGTTATCCTCGTGTGCAGTTATCTATGGTGATACTCCCTTCCTGGAGCAGGTCCTCTATCTGAATTCCTTCAGAAAGCCCAGCCGGAGTGGCTCCGTTGGTTGAGTGTCGTCCTGTGCACTGAAAGGTTGCTGGTTTGATTCCCGGTCAGGGCACATGCCTGGGCTGCAGGTTGGGTCACTGGTCGGGTCATGAACAGAAGGTAACTGACTGATGTTTCTCTTTCACATCGGTGCCCCCCCCCCAAATCAATAAAAATATATTCTAAAATAAATTCCTTTAGATATAGACAGGTAATGGGGGTGGATTAAAGGTTATTTCTGAGTCTTTTATTCTTTAATAACCGGCTTAAAATAATCAATATTCCAAAAGGCATATTTGGGGGGGGGGTGACAAACTTTGTTTCTCTTCAGCACCAAGAATAGGATTTCACCAAATCCTTTTTTTTAAATTTTTTTTTCTTTATTGATTTTAGTGAGAGAGGAAGGGAGAGGAAAAGAAAGACAGAAACATCGGTGAGAGAGAACATCAATTGGCCGCCTCCTGCATGCCCCCCACTGGGGATCGGGCCCACAACCTGGGCATGTGCCCTGACCAGGAATCGAACAGGTGACCTCTTGGTACATGTGTCGATGCTCAAGCAGTGAGCCACACCAGCCGGGCTCACCACATCCTTATTTTTTTTTAATTGATTCTTCTAGAGAGGGAAGAAGGAAAAGAGAGAGATAGAAACATCAATGTGAGAGAGAAACACTGATGGGCTATGTCCTGCATGCCCCCCACTGGGGACTGAGCCCGCAACCCGAGCATGTGCCCTGACCTGGAATTGAACCCGGACCTCTCAGTCCATGGGACAACACTCAATCCACGGAGCCATACCAGCCTGGCTCACCAAATCCTTTTATATTTTTCCTTTACCATTGAATATAATTGCTAACCTGATGATGATGATGATGATATTGACAGTAATAGTAATAATAACAGGGAATAAATCTGACAGCCAAAATACATGACAACACCAAGTGCTTACCACTGTCCACAAGCTCAGATGTGACTCTGTGCCTGAGACTGCAGTCGCCTTTAATTCACTGAGCTGCAAGTGTGGTTATTATTCCCTTCAGATTTCTGAAAGAAGTGTCTTCTATATTGGCGTTAGACACCTGGTACCGCAATACGTTCAGCAAAACACTCACCAGCTACAGCATTAAAACGGCAAACTGTAATCATGGAAGGAATCCACCTTAGGTCTTAGTCTGTGCCTCAGAGTTTAGTGCATGCAGTAAATCTCTCATATTTTGCTGGCAGTTATTTTTCTTTTGTGTTCGGTATTGAGATCGCTGGGATTAAGTACATACAGTGATACCTCGGTTCTCGAACGCCTCGGATTTCGACCAAATCGGTATTCGACCAGGAGATTCGAGAAACTTTTGTCTCGGAATCCGAACAAATATTTGGAACTCGAACTTCCGAGATGAGCCGAGTTGAGCCGAATGGCGTTCATTCGGCCCAGCGCGCCTTGCTGCGTCATCAGTGTGAGTGCAGAGAGAGTCACGCTTTGTGGAGAGAGTCACGCTTTACACTGAATTTAACCCGTAGACATACTGTACACTTTTATTTCTTGTTGAGACTTATGTTTTTCTACATATTATATACAAATTAGGCCAGTAAATAGGCATTTTCTGGGGCTTGGAACGAATTAATCCAGTTTCCATTATTTCCTATTGGTTTCATTGCTTCGGTTCTCGAACAATTTGGTTCTCGACCGTCCTCCTGGAACGAATTATGTTCGAGAACCGAGGTATCACTGTATTCAGATTGATTTGCCTGCAATGTGCCATACTACACATGCTTCTGTCATAAAGGCAGTGTAAAGGAGCAGTAAGTCCACATTCCACTGCTCTGTGAAGCCATGCACTTTCAGATACGTCATATATGAGGCCACACTGCGATCTCTGGTGATTTCTTCATAAGAGGAAGAGTTAATTAAAAAATGCATGGTTACCATTAAATTACCAATCAGAAGTAGTTAGAGAGCAATTAACCATCATTTCCCCTTAAAAGATGAGGCCACTTATGTGTTCCAGGCCCGTTACTCTGCTCTGGCTGTGCATCAGGTCCGTGTTCTGATTTGTTTTATGCGTTACTCCCGGCATTCTGGAGGTGGATGGGGAGGCTAAAGAACGTGTGGAATGTTACAGGCTATCCATGATTGTGTGGGCATGCCGTCCTCCAGGATCTGCTTGGGCAAAGGCAAGAAAGCACTTCTGGACTGTAAACCCATCGTGTAGCACTGAGTGCTCCGGGCGCCCAGCCTCTGAGCTCCCACGGGAAGGACAGCAGTCCCGAGGAGGGCCCTTCCTTACCCATGGGTCTTGGACCGCGATCCACTGCTTGTCTGTGCTCCTCCCTGGGGCCTTGCCTTTGCACCTTCAAGCTTCAGCCTAATACTCACTTTCCCTTAAAGCCTCCCCGACCCTGTCCTCAACAGGAGGAGTTTCTGATTCCCTTCCCTGGGCCCCAGCCCCCCACCCCCACCCACACAAACACTGTCTTCCTGGCAGGAACTGGATCTCAGAGGCTTCATGGGCCACGGGAAAATGAGCACTTTCTTACCGCAATGGAGCATAATGGGAGGGAGGTCCACACAGGTCACGAGCTGTCTTGCATTTGCAAAGGTCATTCTGGCTGCTGTGCAGTGCAAGGTGAGAAGCAGGGCTTCCCATGATTCCAAAGGTCGTGGCGGCTTGGACTGGACCTTGAGTCATGGAGGTGGTATGAGCGGTCACATGGGGGAAACATTTTGGAGGACGTTGATGCTGTAGAAATTTAAAGCGAGAAAACCCCGGAGCAGAGGTCATCAGAGGTGTGAGTTGATGCAGAAAGGGTCACCAGAACCAGCACAGAAAGGGAGGGAAGGGCACGTGGGCAGGACTCCCTGATGCTCAATTAACAGGTTGCTATGTTACAACTATGACTTTGACCTGAACTGATTGGCTTATTTCTCATTAGACATTTTCAAAGAGTGATTCCCTTGGAGATAAGACAGCTGCTCCGATCCCTCTCAGCAGTCCTGGAGAAAGGGAAGAAGCTGGAGGGAGTCCGGAATGGGGCCTGTTACTCCTCCCCCGAGCAGGAAACCTGGCTTGAACCCCATGAGCAGAGCACGTGTTTCCAGCCCCTGCCGTTTTTCTTTCTAATATCCGCGGTGACTAACCCTGGCAATTCCCTTGGTCCGCTCGCTCTTGATGAAATCCTTGACGAGAGCTGTTGTCCCTTTGGGGCTGAATGTTTTTTTCACAACTATTTTTTGTTTTTTTTTAATAGGATACCCCAAGCAGAGGAGCACGGCTCCCCGAAATGGGTTTCCCCCCAAGCCCGACCTGCAGGCCCGGGAAGCGGAGCGGCAGCTGGTCCAGCGGCTGAAGGAGAGGACTGAGCAGCAGGCCCGGCAGCTGGGCCTCGTGCAGGGGGAGCTGCGGCGGGCCGTCCGCGGCTTCCAGGCGCTCGCCGTGTCCACGCAGCACTTCTTCCGCAAGGTGAGGCCACGTCCGGAGGTGGAAGGGCTCTTTGGGCAGAGGGCGATCACGGTGACGGGTGCGTGTCTGTTAGTTTGGTTTGGGGGTTTGATTTTCAGAAGGTCATCACACATCAGGTGGCATTTGGAAGCCAAGCTTATAGTTACCTGTGAAAGAAATTAGTTTGGGAAGAATGATTTAATAACCTGATTTCCAAAAGGGAAAACTGTGTCAAAAAGAAAGCAAAGAACATAAGTGAACATTTTCAAGGTGAAGTCCTTGAAGAAAATGGAGCCGATGACTGTTTGCACTACAGGGATGAGGCGGCCAGGTTCAGACACGTCTGCACATTTCAGGCCCAGGGAGACAGGCCTGGCTGCTGGTGGGATGTGCCAGGCCTGGGCGGCTCCTCAGAGCCCACTCACGTGTTCCCAGGGCAGTGTGGGGTGGGGAGGCCTCCCTGATCCCGGGCTGTGTCTGGAAATGCAGACGGGGCTGGCTTCTTCCCAGCAGGCGAGTGTGCAGAGGCTGCTGGGCCATCTGGCAGAGGCGGGAAGCAGCCTTGTGTAGTCGAGCTCCCCGCCCATCGGCTGGAACGGAGGCTGGTGGAAGCCTGGGTCTGAGCGAGGCGTCGGTGGTTCACCTTGAGACAGCCAAAGCATGTTTGGGGCAGAAAACTAGCATCTTAAATTAGCATATTAAAAACCCATGGGTCCTGGCCGGTTTGGCTCAGCGGTTAGAGCATCGGCCTGTGGTCCGGAGAGACCCGGGTTCGGTTCCTGCTAAGGTCGCATACCTCGGTTGCAGTTTGTCCCCGGCCCTGGTCGGTCGTGCGGGTGGCAGCCACTCAATGTGTTCCTTTCGCATCGATGTTTCTCTCTCTCCCTCTGTTCCTCTCTCTCCCTCCCACTCTACCTGAACAAAAAATGGAAAAATGTCCTCCGGTGAGGATTAAAAAAAAAAAAAAATCCCATGGGACATTTTGAGTTTCACATGTGGACCTTCTGGTACTTATAAATGGGAAGAAGTGAAAATGCTATATATATGCGCTCCAAATAAGAAAACGGACTGACAAAATCCCTGGCTAATTTGAAGAACAAAATCAGAAATATTAGGTAGCACCGTGTCCACTGGTTTTATTTATCATCTGAACCTTAAAGTGTGGAGGACTCTTTGGCCTTTTATTGATTGATTGATTGATGATTGAATGATTTTTTAAATTGATTTTTTAATGAGAGGGAGAGAGAAACATTGATGTGAGAAACATTTATCGGCTGCCTCCTGCACGCCCCCTGCTGGGGATCGAGCCTGCAACCTGGGCATGTGCCCTGACGGGGAATTGAACCCAGACCTGTAAATCCATGGGCTGACGCTCCGTCCACTGAGCCACACCTGCCGGGCTCACTGGCCTTTGATGATGCCCTCCACCCTCCTCTCGTCCCCAGGACAGAAGCCAGGGCCGGTCTTTCCTGCTGCTCTGTTCTCTTCTGCTTAGAACTTCCAGCAGAAAGAGCCGATCACAGTATGTTGTAATGAAGGGCCCGGTGACCAGATTTCAGTTTGCCAATAATCTCAGTCTCTCTAACCAAAATGTAACCGCCGGCAGTAGTGGCCCAGTCTCAGTTTCCTGTCTTCCCTTCTGGTCCAGTACCGTCGGTGTGAGCCTGGCACAACCCAAGTGGCCGTGTACCCACCCCGGTAAGAATTAAAACTACACACTCATGTTGGAGGTGTCAGAGAGGCCTGCCCTGCCATGGGAAATGCTGGGCGTTTTGCTCATTAGAGAAAGAGTGGCATGTTTTCTGTTCTTCAGCTCGGTGTATTTTCCACTGCCTGTGAAGTCTTTAGCAAACAGGAAAACGGGCTATTCACTGGGATCAGTGATAACATTGACACTGTTACGCTGCCTGCGCCGGGTGACTGCATCATTCAGTCCTAGCAGGTCCTTGACAGAGATTTCACGTGGATAGACCTTGAGGTAACAGACTGGTAACAGGAGCTGTGTCCCGGCTGGAACTTTTGGACCTCACTATGGCATCACGGAGGAGAAGGGAGTTTCCGTGCTGAAATTAAGAGTCCATTTCCTATAGTTTTGTGTTTCTGTGTCCCGGGGAAATTCCTTGTTGGCCCACGAACCGTGAGTTTTATTTCCCTGCAGTGAGCACATGGCTCTTAAATCAAAGACCGACCGGGTGGGCGGCTGGGTTGCAGGGACCCGTGGGCCCTCCCTACCGTTCGGCTGCACAGCGGGCATTGCAGCAACACGGACGGGGGCACAGATTTCACTTTCTTTCCAGTAAATCACAGCCAGTGACTCCAGACAGGCCTCCCGAATGACCATGGAATTTTACCTCCACACAGTGTGTTCTTTTCAACTCTCTCTCCAGATAAATCCTAGAAGGAAACATGGATGTGACACAAAGTCTGTAATTGAAGTTGAGTGGCTTCCTTACAGATTGTCATACGTCCTGTGTGGTTTAAGATGATTAATTTGAGAGTTTGCCGTTAGTGAGCCAGGACGTATGACGTGGCATAAAGCACCTGGAAAACAGAGACAGAGACATCAGGAAGCCTCCAATGACGGAGCCTCTGTGACAGCAGCCGTGATCCTGAGCCGTTCAGTGTCACTCATGTGGGGAGCTGATGCATTGTCATTATGTGTGAAACTCGGTCATAGCTAAGCATGCCCACTATGAAGGGCTTGACCTCTCCAGCCAGCCTGAAAAGGCAGCATCTTTTTTACTTTTCTGGTTAGAAAACCTTGCTGGAACTCGACACATGTATCTTTTCTACACTGTAGCATATTCATCTGCAAAGTACCACCCAGAGGAGGGAGGGTGGGGTGCCACCCGGTGGAGGGAGGATGGGGTGCCACACGGTGGAGGGAGGGTGGGGTGCCAGTAGAGAGTCAGTCCCACCTCCGCCTCTGTCTAGCGATGATCGCCAGCAGGTGTCTGGCCCACCTGGAGCCTCGTCTTCATCACCAAAAGGAATAATATCCTCCCCTTTGTCCGGACTCCCATTAACTCAGTCACCTCTGTGTGAGTTTCAGTCTCTTCCATTTCAAACAGGACTAATAACTCTTCACAAGGTTATTGTGATAATGCTGTGAATTAATGGATGAAGGGACTTTGAGCAAATACTCAGTAAAACTTCCTTGTTGAGTGCCAGGACATCTGATACAGAGCCTGCTCTCAGATGTTTACTCTCAGGCAGGACGAGTGAGAGCTGGGTGAGAAATAAAACATAAAGTTAAAGCAGCACGGACCACTCTTATTTCATTCTCTATGTACGTAAAGGTTCTGGCCTGGGTGTACTTTAAGAACAGAAGTAATTTTCTAGTCCAGCTATTTCAGTGCTGCTTTATGCTTTTTCCAGAATGTGCTGAGCCATTAAGCATATATTGGAAGTAAGTCCCAATGTATGGGAGTCACCAGAGAACGGACTCGGAAGCGGATAAGAATCTCTCATTTCTGCCCTGCACTTTACAGCTCCAGGCAGGGGGGCTGTGGCGGTTCAGCTGTGACACAGCCTGAGCCCAGGGTCCAGAAACTGTAAGGTGCCACATTTCGGTGCCAGGACCCGCCTCACGCTTGCGCTGCTCGTCCTGCCACTAGGCAGGGTCCTCACCCGCCGGATGGATTTGCTGACATCCCAGCCCCAGACCTCCGAGCGGTGTGATAATGAGTGTGACTCTCAGGGACTCACACTTCTGAGGGTCAAGTGGAACAGTGTTATTTTTTTCTTGCTGCCTGGTTCTTGAGAATGCTACTCTTGATTCTTTAAAAAAAAATTACTGACTTTATTGGGGTGACATGTTTAATAAAATTATATAGGTTTCAGGTGTACCATTGTATATATATCATCTGCATATTGTATTGTGTGTTTACCACCCCAAGTCAGGTCTCCTTCCATCATCATTTATCCCGTTTACCCCCTTCCAGCCTTCCCTTCCCCCTTTCCCTCTGGTAATCACTATACTGTTGTCTGTGTCTATGTGTTTTGTTTTTTGTTTTGTTTTGTTTTTTAATATTTTTCTTGAAATCAGAGAGGAAGGGAGAGGGACAGTGACAGAAACACTGATGATGAGGGAAACATCGATCGGCCGCCTCCTGCATGCCCCCTACTGGGGATCGAGCCTGAAACCTGGGCATGTGCCCTGACCTCTCAGTCCATGGGACAATACTTAATCCACTGAGCCACACCTGCAGGGCTGTGGCTATGAGGTTTTTTTGTTTTGCTTAATACCTTCACCTTTTTTTTTACCCACCTCCACAATATCCCTCCCATCCGATAGCTGTCAGTCTACTCTATTGATGAGTCTGTTCCTATTTTGTTTGTTAGTTCATGTTGTTCAGTAGTTTTGATAAATGAGTGAAATCATTTGGCATGTGTCTTTCTCTGACTGGCTTATTTAACTTAGCACAATAATCTCCAGGTCCATCCATGCTATCACAAAAGGTAAGATTTTCTTCTCTTTACAGCTGAGTAGTACTCCATTGTGTAAATGTACCACAGCTTTTGTATCCACTCCTGCTGATGGACATGTGTACTGCTTCCAAATCTTGGCTATTGTAAACAATGTTGCAATGAACATAGGGGTGCATATATTCTTTCAAATCAGTGTTTCAGATTTCTTCAGATACAGTCCCAGAAGTGGAATTGCTGGGTCATAAGGGAGTTCCATTTTTTAAGGAACCTTCATAGTATTTCCCACAGTAGCTGCACCAATCTGCATTCCCACCTACAGTGCACAAGGGTTCATTTTTTTTCATATCCTTGTCAGCTCTTGTTGTTTCATTGATGGTAGCCATTCTGGCAGGTGTGAACTGATATCCCATTGTGGTTTTAATTTGCATTTCTCTGATGGTTAGTGGCATTGAGCATCTTTTCATATGTTTGTTGGCCATCTGTATGTACTCTTTTTTTTTTTTTTTTTTTTTTATCCTCACCCGAGGACATTTTTCCATTTTTTGTACAGATAGAGTGGGAGGGAGAGAGAGGAAGAGAGCGAGAGAAAC